GGCCTTTTTTCAACTTTCTTAACTTTTATTTCAAATTTGATTTTACTACTTATTTGATATGAATTACCTAAAAGATTGGCAGCATTTTTGTCATTAGTTGCTGGTGTACAACTGTATTCTTAATCATATTTGTTTTTTCAATTTGTGACTGGGATCTTTCAATTTGTTTTGCCAAATGCCAAAGTTTTGTATTTGGGTTTCTTGGTTCCAGGTTTTCACAAGTTTGTTTTCATTTTTCCCTTTTGACATTTACGTATAATCTTTTTATTTTTGCATTCACAATGTTCAGTTCAGTTCTACAATTTGTTTGGTTTTGGGTGCACTTTTCCGTAGTTCATTTCTTTTAGTTATAAGCGTTTGAATATTTTGGTGTGTATAATTTTGAATCCAATTCTTAATATTACCTCTTGATATTGAAACTTTGGCTGCTTTAATAATGGTGTTTTTGAAAGATATCCAATTAGCCTTTTTGAAGTTCCAGAATTTTTTTTAATTGAGCTGGTTTTGGTCTTGGTGCTAATTTCAATCAAATTAGGCAAATGATCACTTCCAATACTTTTTAATATTTTCCATTTGCATTTGTGGAAAATTTCAGGATAGTAAAAACTTATATCAAGTGCTTGTGCAGTATTATAGCTGTAGGAATGATGGGTAGGATTCTCATCATTTAAGCACATGAAGGCATTGTCGTTAAATATGTTTGATAGTATTTTGCCTCTTGGGTTTGGCGTGGAACATCCCCATAGTTGATTTTTGGCATTAAGGTCACCTACAATAATAGTGTTGTCGGTAAGAAATTGAACCATTTTTTCATCGTCAATAAGTTTATTGTTTGTAGGGTGATACATATTGTATATGTTGATGGCTTTGTTTTGATTGAGGTAGACTTTGATACCTTGGGCTTCGAGGTCTGATGTGTTAACAGCTATGTCCTCATAGTACAAATCCTTGATTAAAAATGCTAGGTTACCCCCTTTAACAGCATATACAGATGGATCTTCAGACCTTAGCCTGAGTAATGGAGGGGCCGGAATTAACATAATACTGCAAGATGGAACACACATCAAAATCAAAGAAGGAGCAGGACAGATTTCGTCAAACTTCACTTGTGAACTGACAGCTATCTGGAAAGCCTTTGATGTATGCCTTAACCAACCATCCCTGCATCAAGCAGAAGGAATTTTAATATACAGCGACTCAATATCCGCTCTAGAAGCAATTCAGAAAGGCAATACTAAAATCACACAGAAAATACACTCGTTACTTACCCAACTGGAACCATTGGAGAAGAACTGCATTCTACAATGGATTCCTGCCCATGTTGGGATCGGGGGTAATGAAATGGCATTTGAATTGGCTAAGGAAGCCAGAAAGTTGGGCCAAAGGAAAGAACAAATGTCATTATTTGACGCTGATGCTTTGTCAAAATACAAGATAATTAAACAAAAAATAAGAAAATATCAAAATGCGAAATAAACTCTGAGAGAAAAATGACAAAAACTATAACAAGACTTAGAACAAAACACTATAAAGGAATGACAATACATCCAATGGCACAAGAACCTATAGGACATGCAACAACTGTCCTTAGTGGAACCAGAAATGGCCGCAGCCTTGCAGAAAATTGACACAGACCCAGAGCAGCAGCTTTACACACCCAAGATAGTGGATATTGCTGTTGCTGTGATGGAGATGCATGGAGACATCTGAGGCTCTTTATTGGACACGACAACAACAACAACAACGGCATTCCAGAGTAAAATAAATTATCAGGGATAGATACATATTTTTCAAATGAATTAAAATAAATATAATCGATACTAAGAGAGTTGAATTTAAAAAATTAGAAATTTATTATCTTCGAAAACAAACCGTATCTAAAATATCTTCTTTTTTTTTTGCTACATGTTTTAATTTGCATATGCCTATTTTACATATCTCAGATTGTATTTAAAAATCGTTAACCATTTCTTTTAACTTTTGGCGAAATGGTGTTTTATTAATTTATCATTTGATATTATCAGGGTTCTTTCCTGGTATTCAAAAAGGAAAAATACGTGTCGTTCAGTTATATTTTTCAATTTATCAAACAATTTGGCAGCTGAATCGCCGATTCTGGTAGAGCGCCATCTAGTGAATAAAGTTGTAACTAAAATCAATTTCGAATTTTTCATTATTTGCCATAAAAAATCCCATTGCATCCTGAACACAATGGTGTTTACCGCATTGCTTTAGCGCAAATATTCGCGGAGTTATTAATTTTTAAAGTTGTGCGGGACTTTTGGATCACCCTGTAGATTAGAAATAGAAGGTAATAAGACCAAATCTAATGATAAGGCACAATTTGGAATATAGATTAGAAACAGAAGGTAATAAGACCAAACTAATGATAAGGTACAATTTGGAATATAGATTAGAAACAGAAGGTAATAAGACCAAATCTAATGATAAGGCACAATTTGGAATATAGATTAGAAACAGAAGGTAATAAGACCAAATCTAAAGAAAAGGCACAATTTGGAATATAGATTAGAAATAGAAGGTAATAAGACCAAATCTAATGATAAGGCACAATTTGGAATATAGATTAGAAACAGAAGGTAATAAGACCAAACTAATGATAAGGTACAATTTGGAATATAGATTAGAAACAGAAGGTAATAAGACCAAATCTAATGATAAGGCACAATTTGGAATATAGATTAAAAACAGAAGGTAATAAGACCAAATCTAATGATAAGGCACAGTTTTAAATATAGATTAGAAACAGAAGGTAATAAGACCAAATCTAATGATAAGGCACAATTTGGATTATAGATTAGAAGGTAATAAGACCAAATCTACTGATAAGGTACAATTTGGAATATCAACATATATAGTCACGACCGTCTTTCCTGGCCTCTGTCACGGATGCGTGCGCATCATCATTATAATCATTATCATTATCTAATGATAATTATTATTATTATCAACATATATAGTCACGACCGTCTTTCCTGGCCTCTGTCACGGATGCGCGCGCATCATCATTATGATCATTATCATTATCTAATTATAATTATTATTATTAATAATAAATATAGTCACGACCGTCTTTCCTCATTCCTCATCGGCCGCCTCTGTCACGGATGCGCGCGTACAGGGAGGTCACGTGCTCGCCGGCAGCCAACGGGCGCGCGCCGCCGGCATTACGTCATAGATTAAAAACACAAGGTAATAAGGCCAAATAAAAAAATAGTGTGTGATAAGGCACAATTTGGATTATAGATTATAAACACAAGGTAATAAGACCTAATCCAAATAAATAAATAGTGTGTGATAAGGCACAATTTGGATTATCTATATATATAAAATTGAATGTCTGACTGTCTGTCTGTACTCTATAGATTTAAAAACCATACATCCAATCGCCGTGAAATTTCGGGATATTATTAGGTATATCACCGGGAAGGGTTTTGAAAAATAATTTCATGAATATCTTGAATATCCTTAGTTATTTGCAGATTTGTAGATTTAACTCGCAAGCAGCGCCCCCATTGTTACGATGATAACAAGTTTTCTTATCACTAAGTTTGTTATCTTAAATATTATTTATCAAAAGTAAGATTATCTCAGGATGACACGGCAATTTATTTGAGACAAGAATAATGATACAATTCCAAGGCGAAGATACTATTCCTTTAACTTCCAATTACCGAGGGAACCAATTAATATTGATTTTATTCAACTTATCGAGTATTTTTCAAGGGACCGGGAAAAAATGTTCACTAGATAAAACTATGATTTTCTAATGTAGAAAATTAGGAAAGACATATTCAGGTTGACACGGCACACAGGGACCGGGAAAACAATGTTCACTTCATCGAGAGATTCAAATTTACGAGTTTCAAATTATCAAAATATATCTTTTTTTTTTATAAGTTTTTAGAGAATTGTTTTAACAAATGTTCGCTAGACAAACCTTTACTCGGGTAAAACCCCGGGCGAAGATAACTTCCGATTACCGAGGGAACCAATTAATATTGATTTTATTCAACTTATCGAGTATTTTTAAAGGGACCGGGAAAAAATGTTCACTTTATCGAGAGATTCGTTAGACAAACCTTTACTCGGGTAAAACTCGGGCGAAGCCGGATACGTCCGCTAGTCTATATATAAAAAATGAATGTATGTGTGTGTGTGTGTCTGTCCTTTATGCCCGACCAAACCACTCATTGGAACGCCATGAAACTTTAAAAAGTTATTTAGTATAGACTGGGAAGGTTTCTAGCAAATAAAATTTTCGAAATAACTTTTCGCTTTAAAGTAATCAAGATAAATATTCTAATTTATCTGTTATAATTCAACAATCTGCTCTAAATATTATCATGATGATACGATGATTTGTAATGTAGAAAATTAGGAAAGACAAACCTCAGGATGACACGGCAATTTATTTGAGACAAGAATATTGATACAATTTCAAGGCAAGATACTATTCCTTTAACTTCCAATTACCGAGGGAACCAATTAATATTGATTTTATTCAACTTATCGAGTATTTTTCAAGGGACCGGGAAAAAATGTTCACTTTATCGAGAGATTCGTTAGACAAACCTTTACTCGGGTAAAACCCGGGCGAAGCCGGGTACGTCCGCTTAGTTACTATATATAGTCACGACCGTCTTTCCTCATCGGCCGCCTCTGTCACGGATAATATACAGTTATCATCGTCATGCGTTCTTAATTCTGTCACCGTTTGCTTTTGGTTCAGTGGTAGAATGCTCGCCTGCCACGCGGGCGCCCCGGGTTCGATTCCCGGCCGATGCATTTTTTTTTTTTTTTTACAATTTTTAAAACTCATTTATATATTATACAAGAATGACATCCACGGCGCCAATTTATAATTGTAACGAATAGTATTTGAATAAAAGCATTTAATCGGGTAAACCCTGGGCGTTGCCCGGGTCATTCAGCTTGTATATAATATAAATGAGTTTTAAAAATTGTAAAAACAAAAATCCATCGGCCGGGAATCGAACCCGGACCGCGTGGCAGGCGAGCATTCTACCACTGAACCACCGATGCGTATAAAAATGGCCATATTTGGGTATTCATTCCATTCCGGATTACTCCGCGTAAAAAGAAAAGTTTTTCAAATGAAAAAAAGAAATAGCCATCGGGGGAATTATCGGGCGAAGCCGGGTCATACGTCTAGTTACTGATAAAATCTGGACCTGGTGCTTTCTTGATATTTATTTTTGAAATAATATTTTCAACATCTTTTATTTCTATAAAAATGTTATTTTGTTTTTATATTCAGGTTTATATTTTTAACAATAATATGTCCCTCTTTATCTGAATGTCCATCATCATCTGGAAATAAATCATTCAAGAGACTTTTCATTTTTTTTAATTTAAAGTATCCGGTATATAATCGATCATTGGAAGTCCTATATTGTTTTTGGATGATCTCTGAGATTTAAAAATTTTATAGGCGTTACCAAATGGGTTGTTTGATTCATTTTCTTCAATGAATTTTCTCCAACTTTTTTTCTTAGCTCTTTCGGTAGCCTTAATGTACTTGTTTCTTGAAAATTTAAAAGTTATTTTATTGATAACTCTATGCCGATAGTATAAGTTTAGAATATAATGAAAATCATTTTTAATTTTTTCAAGATTCCCATTCCACCACTCATATATTATATATATGCTTGTGAGAGTTTGATTTGATTTCTAGACACGAATAAACTGCCTCGCTAATTATGTCCGAAAGTTTAATCACGATCCTGTCAACATCCGTAGTATCGGATGCCTGATTTATTTCATTAGACAAGTTATGTACATTTTGAAATAATATCTCTTCAGTAAAATTTTCCCAGATGGCATATTTTTCAATGAATTTCCATGTTGGCCTTTTTCCAATTCTCCGCACCTTAAAATTATATCGAATGTCAAAGGTGTAAGAGAATCAGAGGTTATTGCTACATGATCGGAAATACTTGTAAAAGTTGATGAGCTCCAATTCTGTATCAGCTTTATAGAATATTTGTTTGATATTGCTGGAATCCTCTCAGCTATTTAAATTTCGAAGACAATACATTTATAATTTTTTAATTCAACTCTCTCTCAATATCGATTATATTTATTTTAATTCATTTTAAAAATGTTTATCTATCTCTGATAATTTATTTTACTCTGGAATGCCGTCACTACAGGATAAAGCACTCTTGGTGAATTTTTTTTCATAGCAATTCAGAATCTCCCACTGAAGCTTTATAAGCATTTAGTACCTTTAAAGGTATTCGAAGCGGTAAATTACCCATGAGTTTCTACTCTCTATAAGACGAATGTTAAAATTTTTTAAGAAGACTGGATCTCTGGAAGCAAAACCTCGGAGTGGAAGACTATCGACATGCAAGTCAGTGGCTGTTATGGTTTCACATGATGTTGAAGCTATTGAAACGTTATCCAAGTATGGCGAAGTAATGGTCGACAAGTTTCTCGACAAACGGGGATTTTGTATGGAACAGTTTGGAGACAGCTGTCGAATGTTCTGTGGAAAGATGCTCACTTTTCTCTAAACGGGGAAGTTATCACTCAAAACATCCGCATTTTGGGAACAGAAAACCCTAGGATTTTTACAGAAACGCCACTTCATCAGCCCAGAGTTACAGTTTGATGTAGGTTCACTTCTTATTTTATTATTGGGCCATTTTTCTTTGCAGAAATCAATGGAAAAACTTTTAAAACCGTTTCTGTAACTGGGGAACATTAGGTTCAAATTTTGAGAGAAAATTGTATTCCCATATTGCAGGACATACAAGCACTAAGCGGAATAACATTCATGAAAGATGGAGGACCTCCTCATATCTCCCGCGTAGCCAAACAATTGCTGAAGGATATGTTCAGTGAAGATCGTGTAATAAGTCGCCACTTTATACACCAGTGGCCTCAAAGGTCACCAGATTTGACGCCTTGCGATATTTGGTTATGGGGGTACATTAAGTCGCGTTTTTATCGATCCTGTCTACCACATTGGCCATGTTGTAGGCTTCTATCAAACGGCATTTTTCATCAATTTCAACAGATTTGTAATTTAATGTTATCCAATCTGCCATCTATCGTCTGCAGAATAAAGAAAATGACTAATAAAATGATTATGATTCATTTTTAAACATAATCCCCTTTAAGGTCTTACACTTTTTCCAGCAATGTTCTTAGGTTTTATGCTCTCCAAAAAGAACGATGTTTCAAGTGACTCATCAATAAATGAGGTTACAGCATCAATGACCTCTTCATCTGACCTAAAATGAATGCCAGAAAGGGATTTTTTCAAATGAGGAAATAGGTGGAAGTCAGACGGAGCTAGATCTGGTGAATAGGGTGCATGTGGTAAAAGTTTAAAGTTTTTGCTATGGGGGTACATTAAGTCGCGTGTTTATTGATGCCGGCCTACCACATTGGCCATGTTGAAGGCTTCTATCAGACGGCACGTTTAATCAATTTCAACAGACATGTTATTTAATGCAGTCCAAGCTGTCATCTATCGTGTGAAGGCGGTGTTTGAGAATGAAGGGCGCCACATTGAGCAAGGATTGTGACCTAATACAAGAGAGAAGGCAGTTACCTCATGTGTTATATAAGCTGCCATATATTATATTATCTACCAATATTTTGCAGCTCTTTGTGTTGGGTTATGGGGATATTAAATGCTGTCCTCACAACTTGATTCTTTTTTTTTATTGTGAACAGTAAACTTTTGTTTTTCTTATTTTGCTCACATCTCATATTATGTCGTGCAGACCAAAGTGTTATATCTTCTCGAATAACACTGGTACAAACAATTTTACCCCTAATGTTTATTTTATCGCTTTTCGCTCATTAGAATGAATAGCATAAGGGTTATTCTCTGTACATCCCTAACTTTGGAAATTTTGCGCAAAAAAAAAAAATACAAAATGAATTTACTTCCACGTTATTCGACACAAAAGGTCGATCTAAAAATGATTTTTTTTAGGGGACACATTTTAAAGAAATTCACAGTATAATAAGCAATGATAACATTTGACAAGCCCATGAGATATTTGGAATAAAGTACCACAAATAGATTTTGTCACCCCACTCTTTATTTCATTTGTTGGATCATGAGAAATTTCCAGTTAGTCAAGTGTCGCCAATTTGTCAAGAAACTATACATTTCTTATTGCAAGAAATACAGGGTGATCCAAAAGTCCTGCACAACTTTAAAAATTAATAACTCCGTGAATATTTGCGCTAAAACAATGCGGTAAACACCATTGTGTTCAGGATGCAATGGGATTTTTTATGGCAAATAATGAAAAAAAATTGAAACTGATTTTAGTCACCATTTTATTCCCCAGATGGCGCTCTACCAGAATCAGAGATTCAGCGGCCAAATTGTTTGATAAATTGGAAAATATAACTGATCGACACATATTTTTCCTTTTTGAATACCAAGAAAGAACCCTAATAATATCAAACCTTCGCCAAAAGTAGAAGAATTGGTTGACGATTTTTAAACACAATCAGAGATATGTAAAATAGGTAAATGCAAATTAAAACATGTAGCAAAAAAAAAAAAACTGATATTTTAGATGCGGTTTGCTGGAATCCTCTCATCGATATAAAATTCGAAGATAATAAATTTCTATATTTTTTTAAATTCAACTTTCTCTCAGTATCGATTATATATTGTTTAATTCATTTGAAAAATATGTATCTATCTCTGATAATTTATTTTACTCTGGAATGCCGTTGTTGTTGTTGTCGTGTCCAATAAAGAACCTCAGATATCTCCATGCATCTCTATCACAGCAGCAGCAATGTCCACTATCTTGGGTGTGTAAAGCTACTGCTCTGAGTCTATGTCAATTTTCTGCAAGGCTGCGGCCATTGCTGGGTATGAGAATATGTGGGTAGGTGTTAGTTCCACACCAGGACAGTTGTTGCATGTCCTATAGGTTCTTGTGCCATCTGGATGTATTTTCATTCCTTTATAGTGTTTTGTTCTAAGTCTTGTTATAGGTTTTGTCATTTTCTCTTAGAGTTTATTTCGCATTTTATTATTTTCATTTTTTTTTGTTTAATTATCTTGTATTTTGCCAAAGCATATCAGCGTCAAATAATGACATTTGTTCTTTCCTTTGGCTCAACTTTCTGGCTTCCTTTGCCAATTCAAATGCCATTTCATTATCCCGATCCCAACATGGGCAGGAATCCATTGTAGAATGCAGTTCTTCACCAATGGTTCCAGTTGGGTAAGTAACGAGTGTATTTTATGTGTGAATTTAGTATTGCCCTTCTGAATTGCTTCTATAACAGATATGGAGTCGCTGTATATTAAAAATCCTTCTGCTTGAAGCAGGGATGGTTGGTTAAGGCATACATCAGGGGCTTTCCAGGTAGCTGTCAGTTCACAATTGAAGTTTGACGAAATCTGTCCTGCTCCTTCTTTGATTTTGATTTGTGTTTTATCTTGCAGTATTATGTTAATTCCGGCCCCTCCATTAATCAGGGTAAATTCTGAAGATCCATCTGTATATGCTGTTAAAGGAAGTGGCCTTAGAATTAGTACTATGAGGACTTAGCCGTTAATATTCCAAACACATTAGACCTCGAAGCTCAGGGTATCAAAGTCTACCTCAATCAAAAGAAAGCCATAAACATATACTCACAATATGTATCACCCTCCAAACAATAAACTTATTGGCGATGGAACAATGGCTCAATTTCTTACAGACAAAACTATAATTGTAGGTGACCTTAATGCCAAACATCAACTATAGGGATGTTCCACGCCAAACCCAAGAGGCAAAATACTAGCAAACATATTTAACGACAATGCCTTAATGTGCTTAAATAATGAGAATCCTACCCATCATTCCTACAGCTATAATACTGCACAAGTACTTGATATAAGTTTTTACAGTCCTGACCTTTTACACAAATGCAAATGGCAAATATTGAAAAGCATTGGAAGTGATTATTTGCCTATTTTGATAGAAATTAGCACCAAGACCAAAACCAGCTCAATTAAGAAAAATTGTGGAACGTCAAAAAGGCTA